CGTTTTGCAGGATATCCAAATATTTCCATCGGTTCATGGTCGTCGGTACACGGACCAGTGACCCTAAGCCGGTAGCCGAAAAACATCCCCACACCATGACGCTACCACCACCAAATTTTATTGTAGGTTTACCCCCGGTAATGCATTTCAGCTCGTACTCTTCACCTGGTCTCCGACGTACAAATAATCTTCCACGGCTACGAAACACCGTAAACTTTGATTCGTCCGACCAGATATTAAACTTGAGCCCACTGCGCCGGAGTCCAGTTGATGTGTTGTCTGGCAAATTGCAACCGCGCTGCGATGTGTCGAGGTTGTAGTTTAGGTTTCTTTTTTGCAACACAGCCGCGAAGATTACCATCCTTATATAGTCTTGATTTTATAGTGCTCAAACTCAATCTTTTCCCAGTGAGTTGATTAAAATTGGCACGCAAATCATGGGCGGTGTGAAACCGATTCGCTAAACTAGACCTGATGAGTAGCCGGTCTTCGCGTTGCGTTGTACGCCTTGGTCGATCTGATCGATGACGATTGCCCATACTACCTCGCAGTTTTCGCAGGTTGAAACGTATGGAGCCTTCAGAATTTCCCTATTAGACACTCCTTCTGTATACAGTGCTTCAATGTTCCCTTTAGTAAATTCTGACAATTCCCTATCTTTTGGCTTGGCTCAATGTTTGTAAATAAAAATTACGTATCTGACACTATGACCTCGATAGGAATATTCATGAACTACAACTGACAGGTATTCTCGCCCAGAAGCGCCTGTTGAAATAATTTCAGCTTCCCAATTGGTTCAAATTTGCATGAGAAAGGACACGACTATCGCACATGTTTTATGGCGCGAAGTTTTAATGAGATGCAAATGATATGCAAATGAGCGCGCTCCCATAGAGTTAACCATGGCGATTTTCGCTCACTGAAAAAACGTCTACATACAAAAAAACTAAACACAAATCAATCATTTTATTTTGCACTAGTTCTTCTTAAATTTAGTATATTTTAAAGTCAACACATCATGTTACCCGGAATTGTTATTTTTAGTTACGAAAACGATCAAATGACAGGTGCGTAAATACTTTCTGGCGGGTCTGTACATATGAACAAGATCTTGGAGTTAATACAATGCTCTCTATCAGTGACTATCAATGATAAGTGAAAAAAACATGAATAGGTGAGAGTGCTGAGGTAATTAAAGACCACAGAGATGTAGGTACAAAATGCAGGTTTAGCCCACTTATAAGGTTTAGCCCTCTATTTGTCACCATGTGTGAACAAGGCTTAATTGAAAGGGAAGTCTAATCTAAAAGCATGATACTCCTAGATGAACGAGCTCCTGATGCCGAGGTAAGCAATTTAAATCTTTCCCATATCAATACTCATTCTAAAAATATTTAACTTTTTAATGAGAGTACGTTGCCATCATTTTGATATTCTATATAAGCTACTATCCTTGATAAATTGACTAAAATATACAAATTGAGCATTTGGTAAAAAAATGAATTTTCAGTTTTGTTGCCTTGACAACAATTTTATATGTATGGTTAGAACCGGTATGCAACGGCATGTTTTAAACATTCAACCAATTTGAAGTTCTCCGGTGATCCTTCTGAAGCTATAGATAAAATCATTTTCTCAATTGTTCACAACAGTGTCTATTCTATGATGTCGCACTTTACCCATAATCCTTTTGCTGGAAAAGATGACATGCAAAATGAAAATTGATATAAAAAAACTGTAAAATTGCATCTTTTATCTGAGAACTCTCATTTAATAACCTAGATTTAATTAAGTCATTTTCAGAAAACTGACCTTCAAATTTGTGTAATGTCATAATCAAAAGTTGAATTCAATGGTTCTCTTACCTACAGTCTCTGAGTCTGGTACACGTACATCAATATTCCGTTCCCTGTATTCTACAGTGAAACATAACATTCGCTTTCTGTAGGAATTTGAATTTGACATTGATGTTGATGCACCTGATGCCGCAGCAGATGATGATGATGGTAATGGCTGTGTTGGCATCCTAAATGTAGTACCACCCAGGGCTGGCTCACTGGTTGTGGAGGATGTAGGAGGGATATTCAGGCTTGGTTGAAACGTATACTCCTGTGCTTCAAAATCATCAAAAGGGGTAGACCTGAAAAATGATTATGTGTATTTATATGAGGGCCACAAGTCTCTCCAACATCCCCTTCATTGCAAAATAGTGAAGGAGAACTGAAAATAATAAAAAAAAGTTATTTCCGCAGACAAACCAAATGTAGCGATTGTGTGCAAGTTAATACTTTTCGCTTTCCAAACTGTTTACATGCCCCTATACAACAGACACAATATAAATTTTAAAATATAACAGCAAGCTATGATCTGAGGGGGTTCCAAGTAGCTATGGTTTAGCAATTATAAATATTTAATAAAATAATGACCATCACATTGATTTAAACCCAAAACTAATCAGGTTTGTGTGCTATCCCAGCGCATCTATGTACCAGTTTTCATTGAAATCTGTTGAATAGTACTTGAGAAAGAAATGAAAATGCCCAAAATGTGCTAATCAATATGCAAATTAGGTTGAAACGTCAGCAAAAAAGCTGAAAATTTATTAATTATACAAATTA